TACCTTGTCACCTTCCCTTGACATGCCACCCCAGGAGTAGAAGCTGGGTAAGGCCCCGACATCTGGCCATCTTTGTTCATATGCCCAAGGTGCTAGAATTAGCTTAGGAGACATGCAGGCCAGAGGGCTTCTAGGCAGGGAAAAGGGTACACACCCCAAGGCAGGAATGCAGAGGAATGATGCTAAGGAGGATATCTTTGGGGGTAAAGCCGTCCCCAGACTGACAGCTCTGCCTTCGTCTTGCCTCTGGCCTTATATTTCATACTTCACTCAATATGGCTGGTTAATAAACACTCCTGGGTAGGAGGCCAGGAGTCTGTTCCAGTTCCCAAATTTTTCTTATAAAAGTTCAGGGCCTTCAAGGGGCTTTAATGCTCTCCCGCAGGGCTCTTCCTGAGTTCCCTGTGGGCTTTCCTCCCTTTCTAGTCAAATAGCTGGAGTAAGGAATTCTTGGGTAGAGCACAGGGATGGGGTAGCCAGCTTCTCCCTTCTTGTGGTGGGGCTCAGACACCAGCAACAGCCTCTTGGGATGCCCCGAGTTGTTTCATATTCTTTCTAGCTGTCCTTTTTTAAGTGTGTGCTCTCCTTCCTCAAAACTTTTAGATTTCCTGTTACATATTAACACAGGTCTTCCCTTTCACTTCAACTCCAGGTTTCCAGGCCTCAGAGCCAAGCCAGGGTTGGAGAAAACTGCATTCCTCTGAGGGTAAAAGTAGCCACCCTCTCCGATCCTTTCTCACCAGGCTTCCTGTGGGGATGGGAGAGGGTGTCCCCAGGATGGGGACAGAGGAAGCCCTGCTAGGGTCACCTAGCCCAAGGAAAAGCCAAATGCAAACTATACGCAGATCAAAACCTTACACCAGCTTATTAGGGCCCTCGTAGTTGATAACCTTGTTCCTGTCCTAAGTTCTTCGGTGACAACCTAGTATACTTACTCTTCCTGCTATCTATCCTAAGGTCACTTCCAAAGCAAGCTTAGGATCTTCAGCACTTCCATGAGCTGAAACTCCCTCCAGCCCTTCTTGTCTATTCCTCACTGCCAGATGGGGCCTAGGCTCAGTCCTGGGCAAGTGCCCATGATCCTGCTGCTGTGGGAAGTTTGATAGGGCATATGGCTCAAATTTCAAAAGGCCTCACCCCTGACTTTTATTTCTAGAAGCTCCTGTAGTTCTAGAACCCTCCAATCTCTTACCTGACTGGTTGCAAGGCTTATTTTTCTTTTGTACTTTCCTATAGATTCTGTAGCATTTGAGTGTGGCAATATTTTAATTGTGTATAGATTTCTTAAGAACCAACACTACTCAGTCTCCTGCTAGTCTGCCTCCTGAAGCATCAGACCTTGTCATACTGTATTGACTGTGTATGTGCCTTTCACCTTGAGCATGCTTCAGGATTTTTTTTTCTTAAACCACAGAACTTGAATACACAAGGGAACCAGAATTCACAAAGTCCTATGCAACCTAGACAGGAGGAGGTTAGAGAGTCTGTCTTGATTGATTTCAGAGACCCTAGAGAAATTTGTACCAGTTTGTATTAATGTCAATACTACCAGCACTTTGCCAAAACTAAGGATGTCAGAGGGACCTGTTTCTAGAGTGAGTCCCAATTACATCAAAGGGCAACTTCCAGCTTTCTCCAATAAGTCTGAGTGGTTCTCTTGAGCTGGTGTCACTTTCTAACCTTTGCCAGTCTAGCCCCAGCAGGGCACTATGTGTGTGTGAGTGCTGTTTGGTGCTGTTTTGGAGTATGCCTGCTCCCCAGCCTGGAACCCTCTGATCAACTTGCTGTGACCTATAATGTCTTAGGTGCAACAAGGACCCTACCAGAGCTCCTGGGTGGCTTTCAAGATCCATGTAGCTTTGTGTGAGGGGACTGAATGCAGACAAACCACAGCCTACTCTAAAACCTTCTTACCCTACCACCTAGTTCCAAATGGAACCAACAAGTTGAGTGCAGATCTGTTGGGTGTTTTGTGTTGAGACTGGCTGAAATGAAAAATCTTTGACCGATCATGTTGTGATGTGTCGACAGACTCAAGGACACAACCACCTCGACCTGGTCATGTGGCATGCCTGTGTATGTGTGTAACAGGATTCTGAATGTTAGATTGTAATGCTATTCCTGTATGGGAGAAAAAATAATATAAACAAATAAAAATCTATTTAAAGCACATTATGCTTTCTGCCTGAGTTGAGCTAAAGTCTGAGAAACACTATAATCTCAAGTAGAGTCAAGACAGAGGGTGTTATTATTAGGCTGGCTTTGGCTCCAGTTTGTCATACAAGAGAGGAAGAGGGCAAATAAGTTCTCTGGAAAGAGACAATATAGGATTCAACTCATAAAATATTTTTTAGAAGATCCTTATAAGACACATATATGAAGTAAAATACAGGAATGAAAATAGAGGCACAACAGAGACACTGGCCATTCTTTTAGTCCCAAGCACTGGGTTATAGGACAAAGAGCTGCCCATTTAACTGCAGAACTGCACCGACAACCTTGCTGGCCAGTCTGAGAGCACCTGAATGGAGCAGCACAGGAATGAGGTGGGGAAGTGCCATCTGTGTTGCTGACAGTCCCTTGCCTCTAAAAATCCTGGGTGCCTTTGATATGGAGGGTTGGTTTTACTTTCTGAGACAGGTCTTAGCCCAACCTGGTCTCAAATTCTCCATGTAGCTGAAGTTGACCTTGAACTCATGATTCTTTTTGGTTTTTCAAGACAGAGTTTCTCTGTGTAACATCCCAGGCTCTCCTGGAACTTGCTTTATAGACCAGGCTTGCCTCAAATTCAGATCTGCCTGCCTCCACCTCCTGAGTGCTGGGATTACAGGCATGCACTATACTGCTTGGTTAACCTGTGGTTCTTATGACTTTACTTCCCAAGCACTGTGATTACTAGTGTGTGCCACTATACTTGATTATTTGCAAACAAATGAAATTACACACACACAACTTGCTAGTTCTGGTTTGTTCAAAGCCAAAAATGAGCAAATAGATACATTTTCTTCATCTTGCTGGGTGGGCATTTCAGGTGGCAAGTGTCTGAGTTACAAAGAAGGCTGTGTCTATGTATCTATGATCACAAAAAAAAAAAAAAAAGAGGCTTGCTTACCCCTTTCCAATAAGATACTTTAAAGTTCTATGACAAAGACATTTATTTAACACGTTCAATATTTCACATTGTACAAACCCTTAGATTCTCTTTATTCACTGGTCCTTTTCTACAACAAATACATCCAAAAACACTATATAATAAAATTATTTACAACATTTCCAAATGACAAGATTGCTTTTTGCCCCACTACTGCTATTCACACACAGTACTTCCACAGCACAATACATCATTAGAAGATCTACAAATGCTCACCCTGTACTTTAGGCTGCTTAAGAAATGTGAAACTAATAACATTTATAATGGTATTAGCTCCTTTCAATACATGGCAACATTTTAGAAGCCTTGAACTTCATTTTGCAACACCAAAAGGGCTGCTCCCCTTTACACTTTATGAGACAACAGGTTTCAGGGACTAGGAAAAGGATTGAGTTATTAAAATGACTAACTGTACAGAAATAGATTAAAAAGTCACAGCTGAAAATTGCTCTTTGTAAAATTCACACACATTTACAAGTATCAAGTCATCTTCCAGCTTGCTTACTTGGATTTTCTTCGCTTGGATTGCACTGCACCAGTTATATCTGTTGGAGAAAAGGAAGGATATGTTCAACGCAGGTAGCAGTGCACTTTAGGTTGTCCACAATGTCTAGAATTGACATAGTGGAGCCCTATTAGGCTCCAAATCAGTTTATGGGACACATGATTTGAAAACAGTCACAGGCTTTACCTGCTGACTTATGTGGTAAAAGAATGGTCCTGTATATTAGGAACTGCCAACTTGGGGAAATGTGATGAAGACCAGGGTGATGGCTCAGTGAGTAAAAAACTTGACACCAAACCCAAATTCAATCCCTGGGTCCCACATGGTGGAAAGAGCACTAATTGCGTGTGATATCACACAATGTGATAAGGGAAGCTGAGATGTACCTGGCCAGAAAAATTGGCAGTGTTGGGGTAGGGAAAACCTTATATTCTATCAGTTTGTGTGTATATGCCTGGGCATGTGGAGGTCAGGGGACAACTTGGGAGTCAGTTCTTTGCTCCTGCTGGTTCAAGGGTTCTGTGGCAAGCACCCCCACCCCTCCATTTCTCTGTGTAGCTTTGGAGCCTTTCCTGGAACTCGCTCCATAGACATGGCTGGCCTCGAACTCACAGAGCCCCACCTGCCTCTGCCTCTGCCTCCCGAGTGCTGGGATTAAAGGTGTGCACCACCATCCAGTGTGGCAAGCACTTTTACCAGCTTTATCTCTACCCCATCCCCACCAACATGATCCCTTACAAGCTGTACAATCAGCAATCTCCCTCACTTATTCCCATCACTCAATTAAGTTACAGTCACACTAACAGTGCTTTTGGCGAGACACCAGTGAGTAAGTGAACTGCCCCAGAAACTAGCCTTTAGCTGTCTTTTGTAGCCAACCCATTATTCTGCAGTAAGGAACACTTCTTGGTATGCTACAGTTAAAGTCTCTAAACTTTGTGACATGGATCTTCGGTGGCCTACATATAAGGAGGCTTTGGAGGGCTGGGATTACACAACTCTGCAGAGCACCTGCCAAGCATGCATGAGGCCCTGAGCATAATCTCTTGAACCACCCCACCCCACCCCACAGTGTACATATATTTGGAAGCATTTCAGAACAGGGAACACAATCCCAGAACCTGAAGGCTACATAAGTGGCAACTGAGTGACTTATACACAGTAACAGTGACATAAAAGGGAAAGACTGCTTTGATTCC